AATAGCTATCATGTTGCAAGCTCTGATTTGTAATGCAAATCAACTTAAATAGTTGGTTGGTGTCCAGTAGAGAGAGAAGCCAACAATACTTTGCCTCCTGAGAATCTACATCTTCAAACACTGCAATCTTTGTTTTTGAAGTGCGTGTTTATATTACTATTATACTATTATATCATTCTGTTTTACTAGCTGAAACAAATTCCTGTGAATTTTCATTTGTCAAATGAACTGTTTGTCAAATACAGAATACCTATTTCTGAGTACAACTTTGTTTTCGAAATGTGGATGCAAAGTTTTGCTTTTTATGTACTTTTTTAAGTATTGTTTTTGATTTGATAACTTTGGACTTAAACAAATTTTCTATTAGCTTCAGCTCTTCATCAAAGTTTGGCACCCAATTCATAGGAGTGCTTATATTGATTTTCTGACATCTTGTTTTCTGTAAAGATTTTAGGTTTGCAAATGTGTATCAGACTATGCAAAAACTCTCTTTATGAGTTGGTTTTAAAACCCAGTCTAGTATTCCCATAGGATTTGGGAGATACATTACCAAGGATATTATTACAAGATAAATGATTTGCTTCATTGAACACAGACAACAATGCACATTTCCACTGAGATCAGTGATCAGTCAAGTAGAAACAGTCAAAATATTTTATCAGATTTTTTCAATTTTGCATGATATTTTCATACAGGACATCTGTTGTTCAAACTCAGGGAAGACTTTATACTGATGAATAAGGTGACCAAGTTTGATAAAGTTTGGAATAGAATTAGTGAAGTTATGGTGCACACAATGACAATTATTAACGATGAAGAAAACGCCGGACAGAAATGTATCCCTTAATATACCTTTCCCTTCCATCTTTGATGTTACGGGCAAGGTAAAAAGTGCTCCAGTTTCACTTTGGGCGTGAGACTACCAACGGCGTTAACGCGATTTGGTAACAAACACTGCATATTTGTATTTAAGGTATATGTTCGAGGAGCATACCACCATCTATGCATGTCATACATAAATGCATACATTCACAATAAGTTGATATTTCACCGTCGACGGTATCGGGAGATTGAACATTTTATGGTTTATTAGAAGATTAACGCTTATTTGACACCAGTGGTTTACAGTAAATATTAAATACCCACCTTTGTAGCGATTCTTTAACCAGCATATGTATTCCAGATTGATGAGTGATCCCAACAATGCTGGGGTCAAATAAAGACTCTGTGCACTGAAACAGTTCATTACTAACTTTCATTGTCTGGCCATCGGGTAATTTATATTCATGTGCTTCAACCACCTTTGCTCGTCGTTTCTCATTTTCACAATCTGTGATATTTTCAGAGAAGTTGAGCATAAATATTAGTAGGAATTGCCTTCAGATTTTCTCAAGATTATATTAAATGCTTCCAGGTTAATTTTATAGCAGAACCGCCTGCTATATAATTAAATTGCTTAAACTTAAAGTGTTTCATAAAAGTTTGAATGTGTGTCTTATAGGTGCCACATAACTATTGATGGTGCAGTTACAATACAGTCTACAATGACAAAATTATATATCTTCAGTTTACCAACATCAAATACAAATATCAATTCAAGTCAAATCCCAATCCCATGATTACAGAGCATATTTTTAGGAATGTGGTAATCTCTGATTTACATTCTCGACCAATTTAAAGTTGAGGCCGTCATAATGACGTGCTGCTTTATCCAAGTAGAGTTAATTGCGGTATACGAATTTATTCTAAACATATTATTTTATAAACTATTTGTTATGAATTCGCATATTTTTCCTGAATGTGAGTCAACTTATTGCAATTATGTTTTTCACCATTGTTGATTAGTGCGTTTTTTAGTTTTTCCCACCGGAAGCTGAAATGGTAACAACAAAATAAAAATAACTCAACTACGTTCAACATTAGTATTTTATAATGATAATGTGTATAAATTGAAAATTTATTTGTTATTAATATAGCTAAGTGTGAACATCATCTTACAAAAATATCCTAGTCCAGTTGTTAAGTCATTTTCATGACAGCTTCTCATTCGTGATTAATGAATAGTTGGTCAACTAATTTCGTCCGTTTTTGTAAGAAAAACACACAACTAATTTAAATAGATTTATTTCTTGGAAAATGAAAAACAAGGCTGAGCCAGTAACAAGAGTGATACTTGTTTGATAAGTATGTATGATAATTGTATGTGATCATTCTTTTATTTATAACAATGAAGCATATACTGACATTGCTTTTGAAATGTTAGTGAGAAAAGAAAACAATGTATCAAATAACTTAAATCAGAGAAGTAAAGGCATCATTACACAATGAGAACAAAGGAGAAAGAATCACACAGTATTTGTAGCGAGACGGTTTTTAAGAAAAAGTCGAAAATGAAAAGTTGACGCCGATAGATGGCGACGGGCAATCACTAATATGAACGAACAGTTTCACTCGACAGTCGATAGCAGGTCTAAAACGTAGAATTTAAACATATCGATAAAATAAATGGATATTCACCTAATGCTACATATGACAGTCTCTCCTTCATTATTCGCAAAATTTCCCATTCCGATGACGTTGTGAAATTGTAGCCTCGTTCACACTGCAATAACCTGGCCAGCTGACGAGTAACTTCACGACCTGCGATATCAAGCTAAGAGCAGAATGCAATATTAACGTTATAACTACAGTTTCTCAATCAATCCCAGAGACAGTGCATTATTATCTTATATTGTAATTCACTTTTCGGCAGCAACATTTTAAATATAAAGCGACATTTTCCAGTCACTTTCACTGTAAGCGTTATCCCAGGAATATAGCACGCATCTTACCACTGATACAGCATGCGATAAGGCAAATCCTTCGTATATTGGTACCAACTCGGTGACACCACTTCCGCTGCTCAGAACAACACCGGATGTGTGACCACTGGCATGTAAGGACAGCACGGCTTGGTTCGATAAAAATACTGCGGGCACATGGAACCGTTCGAACATCACCTGAAAAAATAACTTCATATATAAACAAACACCAAATGGAATGAAATCTAACACCACTTGGAAATGGAATTCTCCGATTGTTGATTTATAGACTTTTATCAAAAATATACAACCTCTCTCACAGGGAGGGAAAAAAAGGGTCTGGGCTTATATAATACAGATATAAGGTTGACAGTCTGAGTCGTAAAAGTTAAAATGCAAACAATACACTGACTAGTACTAGATGTCCTAAGTTCCAATAACTTGTTGATAAAAACAATTGTATGACATTGCCTTTGTGCATAGCTTTGGAAACTGGCTTTAATGACGACTATGCTTTTTAAAAGCGCATGTCGTCAAATTGCATGGGTATGTTTTGTGAGTGTCAATGTGTGAGTTTTAATCCCCTGACCAAATTAACAGAGAGACTGACAACAAAACTGTCAGTATCAATGTTACACTAAATACAGCTAAATATGGCTTCCAGTGTGTAACTATCCAAATGGGGTCAAAACTAATCAAAATAAATACATTTTATTAAAACTGAATAGTTTTTATTCCATTTAACTGTTGTTAGGATGCTCCAAACACAGCATATGTACCTTCAACGCGAAAATATAAATATTTTGTGCAATAAAGGTCAATGAGGGTTTTCAAAGCAGGAACGTGGTGTGAATTCTGCTTTATTAGTAATATTTTAACTCTAACAGATAATAGATAGTGTGTGTGTTTGGATGAATACCAGCATGCCACTTACAACGTGAAACAATGTAATTGACTAAATTTATAGAAACAGGTTTATTGTGAGTTAACCAAATAACCAAGAGATACTTCGTTCACGGGTGAAAAACTAACCTCGAGGTATTTTTGTCGTTGTTCCCTGGGTGCTGTAGCTATCTCGGTGATCAGTACTGGGTGCTCAGATGGCGAGAGATCTAATTCGTATGTGAACACGTGGTCCCAGATTCTTTCCATGTCGCTCCAGTTATCAATAATGCCATCTACATGGAAATAAACACACATTGCTTTATTGTATCCATGTTTTGATCTTTATGTCAAAGCCCGGGCGTCAAAGCAACACATTAAGAACTTGTGTCACATTACCACGCCACCAAGCGGGAAAGATCAACGACACATGCCAATCAATATGCAAACCGAATATAATATATAAGAAAAAAAACACATTGAAATATTGGTGAAATATACTTACAATTTAAAGAATAAAGAGATGTTGTGCAAGTAAATAAAATATAAAGAAAGGTAATGTAATATAGCTGTATTAGTAACTCCAACTAGCAACTGATTAGCAAATAATATTAACAACTGATAAAATCAACTGATACATATTATTATCATATAAGGTTATTACGAGAATAGCTGAAAGTATGCACGAAAACAGTTCAGCTGGAGTATCGACCGCGCGCAGCGGAGGTCGATGCGCGACGTACTGTCTGGGTGCACACTTTGAGGTACTCTCATAATAACCTTATTATTATACATCTTTTCTTTCCAATGATACACCATGGGAATGCCGGAAATGTTTAGAACAGAATCAGCGAACTTCTTTGTGTGGAGTCCGGTCAAATTCTGGTGGCAGCCATGTTTGTTTTTATTATTAGAAGACGCGCTTACGCGCGTAATCATTTAATTTTTGGAATTCGAATTTCCTAAAATGGTAGAATGAAAATACCCTGTAAAATACCGCAAAATTACGGCACGTTGTAACTTATGGCGTTACGGTGACAGATGTATAATAATGAAAATTATCTTGATGTATGGTCGCTTCGAGATAACAAGTTTTCTGAAACTAAAAACAACCGTTTTAAGTTGTGCCACGTTAGGCAAAGTGGTTCTATCAGAAGCCGAAATTACGCAACGATAGCCTGCTTACCTTCGACAGGATAATCGAAAGATAAAATCCCTTGATTGGCGAGAGCGTCATCACCGACGAATGTATTCGTTTCCTTCGATGACGCACTCTCCACGCTATCTCGTATTCTGCCAACCAGTGTGGGTATCGAGGCACTCGGCAGGTAATCGCCTGCAAGACCAACCTTCAGAACATCCGACCCGTTATCTAACACCACTGCTTTGTTATACCACGGGCTGAAACAATCTAGTGGGAATAGGAAATAAAAATATTTACAACATTTATCAAACATATGGTATTTGCCGCGTTTGTTTATTCGTCTGTTCCGATGATAGCTCACAATGTTTTGCATCTTGCGCAAGAAGCTGTGATAGCAATTCGAACAATCTCATTAGCCAGTACGAGTACATCCTAATTAAGCGTTCGACAGTACGATCTTCATGGCAACTGTTATTACGGATCGAAAACGTGGGAAATGAATTTGTATACCTATCTTGTCGGTGTCTGCTTCGGCGATTCTATGTGTCCGGTCGGAAATAGATCCATCACTAGGACTGTCTTTGAGCCTTCTATCACTCCTTTTCTCGCTTTCCTTCTCTTCGTCGTCATCACTCTCGTAAAACTCGATGTCAACCGACAATTCGTCTTGAAGTGCCTTGTGCCAAGCGGCGTTCGCTGTGAATGGCAAATCGGGACGAATCGGTGATTAATGAGAACAGAGTAAACGCTGTGAATGAAACAAAACAGCAGCGCACATTCCTTATAATAATATCTCTACATCAAATTAAAATAGTATCACCATTACTCAGCGAATGATCCGCCGAGACTAAAGTTACGTTAACTGAGGCATTTCTTATTCAGTGTCAAACATATCCATCCATTTATATATATTTTACAATGGTATTATTCAAAATAAAACAAACTTAAAACACTGTGGCGTGTGCAGGTTGTACCAGTTTCGCGAAAACTAGGTCAGATTAAAAAAAACACTGTTGAAACATGTCACATGGTGCATAGCTGTAAAATAAAACGAATATAGATCTTTAAAATTCGGAATAACAAAACTTGTGTCACTGAGTAAATGTTGTTGTACTGCTGGTCAATGTCTACTGTGCTATCGTGGTAGTAACCCAATTTTCTATACGATTACCTATATATAGCACAAATCTAAATCACCAGAAAATACATACACAAATAAATTAAATGAGACGATACATTCAGCCACCACCACACTCGATAACGGAATGCATGAATGAGATTAGTGAATCTCTATTGCGCAGAGTACACCATCCCTGCACACAAGTAAACATTACATGTAAGCATTTCCACAAATGGTTTGATTTCAAATTAATTACAATAATTAAATTAGGCCCGTTACATTATGTGCACAGAATCACGAAATGATTTTCGGACTATTTCATAGATTGTATATTTTAACAAGATTCGATGTTGACGAACTATATAACAGAGCATTCCAACAACAGATAAGGATTTATGTTTATGTACAGTAATCGTATGAAATTAATGTTGTATTTACAAATAAGCCGCGGAGATTTTCTACAACTGAGTGTTAACTAACCTTCCGAGTCCCACCGACTTGGTTTTCTAGTTTCTCTTTCGCCATATCCATCCGATCTTTGTACATCTAAATATTCCTCCCTATCGACTGTTTCTGGTTCACTACATGACTCGAGGAATCGCGACTTTGCGCTCTCGCCGTCAACGTCCAGACGATCTGACTGATCTTCAGCGTCTTGAGCGGAACTCGTCGGAACGTTTTGCTCAGCCTCCTGTAAAACCGGCATAGGGATGCACACAGTGGTGTCATCGGAGGACGACTCAACGGAACCCGTGATCGTCTTTGAAAGTAATAAACTCGATTTTGCCGCATCCGAACTTTGCAGGAATCGAGATTTGGCATCTTCTGTTTCTATGGTGCCGTTGTCCTCACTACCATTGCTCTCTGACGACGTCGAAGTGGTAATGGTTGTAGTGAGGAGGAAATGTGACCTTCCTTCGTTCTGTGTTACTTCTAGGAATCTCGATTTTGCACCATTTTTTACAGCAGCTTGATTACATTCATTTGCGCCACCGGTTTTATTGTTCACAACTCTTTTCTCAAATGTGATGTCACTTTTCTGACCAAAAATGAAGTCCGGTTTATCAGAACTGTCTGAACTATCGCTAGAACCAAGTGTTTTCTCTGTGAAGAACAACATGGCCTCTTTAGCTGAAGACTGCGTAAATCGTGTTTTTACATCAACTATCGTGGCCGGTATCGTCGCCATTTCTCGTTTGCTTCGCTGTAAATGTATTTTTTCTGACCCGTTTAAATCGGGGATGTCAAACCCGTAATCTCGTTGTAACCGCGGCCTTTTGATGTGTTCCTGTTCCGAAAGGGAGTAAACGTTGTCAAAACAATATTCATTATCTCCATCATCGCCATCATCATCAACCCCGACAACAGACTGTGAAAACTTCACGGATTTTCGTTTTGTAGGACTGGTGGGACTGGGTGGAGCTGCTTCGTGTTTTAAAATTGGCCGTGGCGGCGGAAAACTCATTTCAATATCTGGTGGTCTTCGTTCTTCCTTTTGGGGGTACGACTCCTTTACTGTATTGATCGAGGGAACACCTAGACACTCGTACGAAATTAAACAGGAGCTTGTAAATTGTTCCGAATTAATATTGCTTTCAAGTTCGTTGTTTTTTTTTGCACAAACAGGTGCTGGTTCGCCGACTTCCATAGTTCGTATTTCAGGTACGATCATAGAAGTCAACACCGACGACGTACGTATGTCGTCCTGCGTTTGAGTTGTTAAATATATGCATTGTGTTGACTTGGCAGCCACCAATTCGGACATACACACATTTGGCACTCCGAGACTGTCATTCGCTTTTATAGATACTTGCTCTGGTACTTTGTTCATTTCGTCGTCCGATTTAGTATCTGGTGGCGTGATTACGACCGATGGCACCGGCATTTTAGAAACGTAAACTTGCTCCGTACTGACCGGTGGCCCGGTGAACATTTCTTCGAGTTTCACCTCAGCCACGCAACTATCGGAGTCAATGCCCGTCTCCATGCCATCGCGAGATTCAGTTGAGATAGAAACGTCGTCTTGTACCGATCTGTTCTCTTCGTGTGTTGTTTCACTGATAGGTTTAGAGTACGACACGTGGTGACCAACGTAGACCATAGGCACTTCTAAACTTACATTTTGATGCACTGTGGGTAGATGCATTAAAGTTGTATCGGACAAACTCAATCTGTGGGTGTTGTCATATTCGTTTTCTGTTTCTGGCTGATTGTCACTTTTAAATATATGTATCAAAGGGACCGGTGCTGATGACCGACGAACACCACTAATTACTGGAAAAAAATATTAAGTAAAAAACGTTAGTATTTCTGGTTACTAGACGTTCTAAATATGGGCGGACGGCGACACGAGTAGACAGTTTGCTGGTCGATTCAGATTCAGGTGCAATGAACGGAAAGACAGGCAAACGCATGACCAGATATACCCGATTAATACATATAATTTCTTTATATATTTGGCTGCTGGAAAATAATAGCAGTATACAAACGCGAATATTGTGGCAGAATGAGCAACAACCAGAGATGGAAAATGAATAACTATTCTTACATGCCTTTCTGATCCTACGCCACTTGAGATTAGTGCTTAATAGGTGTCATCATCGCACAGCATTATGTGCACTGTATATGCGGGCAACGCAGGCAGGGTTACCTGGTCACTTTCTAACGCACGTTCTAATGCGTCTGTAGTATGAGTAACCAACATTTCATATAACGCCCGCTCAGAAATTTCAGTATGAGATGTGCAAGCAGTGATTAAAATGAAATTTAGTTTAATGTAATAAATAAAAGCAAAATAATAGAATATATATTATATATGAATATATTAGTATACTAATTGTACCACGTTGAATTTTCAAGGTATAATGTCCAAGCTTACTGCCCCCAGAGAGGAATGAACGGATACAAAACCGTGCGAGCGGTTTGCACTGAGATGAAATATAATTCGATGTTGTTTTGAAATCACGGCTTACGAAACTTCTACAGGGTGCACACTGGACGCCCCCACTTGTGCAATTTACTGTACTAACATGGGACAATGACACCCCACGTCATACAAGGCCGACGATTAAGTATGCAAGAAACTTTGAACCCCGCTAGCCTACTAACACTCCACATGTGCTCCATAAATACATGGTCGATGTACAAGTTTTGTAATGGCGGACTAACCCAGAAGTTGCAGGGGGAATAGATGCGAGAGCTTAAAGTGGCTCCAATATGGACATTTCTATTCTACACATAAGGCGCATGCGCTTTGACCTCATTGGTACACACTATTAATTCAAAGCACATGCGAATTCACATATACATGTGTATTTTTTATCCGAACAAATGAACTCTATTTATTGTGTTGCAAGAATAATATTTCAGTTTGCAATAAGTCGAAATCCGTGAGTATGTATACGTGCAATATCAACTTTGACCGAATTGGGAACAAAAATGATATGCGTAAAGTTTCAATACAAAAAGAAACCCAAAAAAACCCGGCATCTTCCATCGTGCTGTGAGGAACAACGAAGATATTTGTCTATATTCCCATGTTCAATCAAATTCTTC